TATTTTTAAGTTTTATAGATTTCTTAAGATAAGGATCTCCTTCAAGATAAGGGATCCCGGTTAGGTTATTTTTCCTATAAATATTGTAAATGTTATACAGAGTAATAATAAGAAGGAATATTTTCAGTCCTAAAAACCTTCATGGTATCAGAGCCGAAACCCTATATTTCCTTCCATGGCTAAAACAGCCATTACTGAGGAAAGGAGATCCTCAACTTCCTCTAGGGCAGAAAACCCTAATCACAGTGAACCAGACCGATCCACCATGTCTCACGGGGGGGAGCCCTCTCATATGCCATTCCAATTAACGCTTCATAAATTGGATGGTAAGAATTATCTAGAATGGGCACAAACCGTGAAACTCGCCATAGACGGGAGAGGAAAACTTGGCCATCTAACCGGAGAGGTGAAGCAGCCCGAAGCAAGAGATCCAAAACTGAAAACATGGAGGTCCGAGAATTCCTTAGTCATCGCATGGCTGATCAATTCTTTGGAACCAACTATAGGTAAACCTTATTTGTTTCTTGCTACTGCAAGGGATGTTTGGGAAGCTGTTAAAGAAACCTACTCTGATCTTGATAATTTTTCACAAATTTTTGAGTCGAAAACTAAGTTATGGAAGTCTAAACAAGGAGAACGTGAGGTCACTGTGTACTATAATGAGATGGTCTCTTTATGGCAAGAATTAGATCAAGGCTACAATGACGAGTGGGATTGTCCAACCAATAGTGTAAGATTCATGAAAAAAGAGGAGAATGACCGAGTATACTTGTTTCTGGCTGGGTTAAATCGGGAGTTTGATGAAGTAGGTCACGAATTCTTGGGAGAAAACCACTTCCTACTCTTCGGGAGGCTTTTTCTGAAATTAGACGAGAGGAAGGGAGAAGAAAGGTTATGTTAACCTGAAACAGATTCTAAATCTATTACTGACAATTCTGCCCTTATTTCAATGAGGAATGAAACCGAAACTGACAAGAAGAAGAAGCCTTGGTGTGATCACTGCAAGAAGCATTGGCATACATGTGAAAATTGCTAGAAAATCCATGGGAAGCCTCCAAATTGGAAGAAGAAGACTGCCATAGCAATTGCCGCAGATAATAGAGCTCTCCAAGCATCCAGTGAGGAACAAAGACAGCAAAGTACTTCAGAGATGTCTCCCTTTACAAAGGATCAATTAGAGCATCTATACAAACTCTTCCAATCTCCAAACCTCCGAGTAAATCCTTCTTGTTCCTTTGTTCAAACAGGTAACCTTGCCTCTGCTTTCCTTAGTGTCAATCCTCAACAAAATAGCTCATGGATAATAGATTCAGGAGCTACCGATCACATGACAGGTTGTTCCCATTTTTTTTCCACTTATACTCCATGTGCAGGGAACAAAAAAATTCGAATTGCTGATGGTTCCTTCTCGGCAATTGCTAGGACAAGAAAAATTGTTATTTCACCTTCCCTAATCTTACATGATGTACTCCATGTTCCAAAACTTTCTTATAATCTTGTGTCTGTTAAAAAAATTGCAACAACTCTAGATTGCCGTGCCATATTTGATTCTTCTCAGTGTTTCTTTCAGGAAGTGGTCTCGGGGAGGACGATTGGCAGTGCTAAGGAAAGTGAAGGCCTCTATTTTCTTTAAGATGGAACTAACTCCGGACAACAAGTTCATAATACTTGCTTACATTCTACTTTTATTTCTAATGATGTTATGCTTTGGCATTACAGACTAGGACATCCAAGTTTTTATTATTTAAAACATTTGCTACCAGATTTATTTAGAAATAAAAATCCATCTTTTTTTAAATGTGAGATTTGTGAATTGGCTAAACACCAACGTTCCTCGTTTCCTTCTAAACCTTATAAACCATCAAAACCATTCATGTTAATCCATAGTGATGTTTGGGGACCATCTAGAGTGTCAACAATATTTAGAAAAAAAATAGTTTGTGAGTTTTATTGATGATCATACTCGGTTGACCTGGGTATACTTATTACATGAGAAATCTAAAGTAAAGGAGATATTCCAGGCCTTCTATACAATGGTTGAGATACAATTTCAGGAAAAAATAAGAGTGTTTAGGAGTGACAATGGTAGAGAATACTTTAATGAAATCTTAGGAGGAGTTTTTTCAGAAAAAGACATAATACATCAAAGTTCATGTTTTGACGCTCCACAACAAAATGGGATAGCTGAAAGAAAAAATAAACACCTCTTAGAAGTCACGAGGGCATTATTATTTACTCGTAATGTTCCTAAGTATCTCTGGGGAGAAGCACTCTTAACTGCAACCTATCTTATAAATCATATGCCTACCAAAATCCTGAATTATAAGACACCTTTAAGTGTTTTCAAAAATGTCTTTCCTACTTCAAAGTTAAGTAACGATTTACCCTTAAAAGTATTTGGGTGCACTACTTTTGCTCACATCCATGACCGAAACCGAGTAGATCCCCGAGCTAGGAAGTGTGTCTTCGTAGGCTACGCTCCTAATCAGAAAGGATACAAGTGCTATGACCCAAGTTCTAAAAAATTGTTTGTTACAATAGATGTCACATTCTTTGAATCTCAGCCGTTTTTTCAAACTCATCTTCAAGGGGAGAGCATACATGAAGATTCGGATTTTCTTCAACCTATAACAGCAAGCTCAAACTTAAATCCCAGTTTTTTAATAACTATGGAGTTTAGTGATTTAAATAATGAGAACTTGAATCCCAGGCCTATAGACCCATCTCATGACATTGATAGAAATACAAATGGGGAACAAACAGGTACAAAAAAACTGCTTGTTTACAGGAGAAGGAACCGGAACCAAGGGGATGAGGCTGACACATCCCAACACTGCCAAGAATCTGCACCCCAGATCACTCCAAATCCAGTTGAGATTCCAGGTAATCCTCACAACGAACCTACTCTTACTAGTCCTATTTCCGAGCCTCATTTTTCTGAACCAAACATACCTGATCTTGATATTCCCATTGCTCACCGTAAAGGTGTCAGAGGCTGTGCAAAGTATCGTATGTCTAACTTTGTTTCCTACAAAAAACTGTCACCCATGTTCTCTGCATTTATCTCACAATTGTCTAGTGTGGAGATTCCGAAGAACGTACAGGATGCTCTAAAAATTCCTGAGTGGAAGGAGGCTGTTCTTGAAGAAATGAAGGCCCTTGAAAAAAATAGAACGTGGGAAGTAATGGAATTACCAAAGGGAAAGAAGACCGTTGGCTACAAATGGGTATTCACAAAGAAGTATAAATCAGACGGATCCCTGGAGAGATACAAGGTTTGCTTGGTAGCTAAAGGATTTACTCAGACTTATGGTATTGATTATCTTGAAACTTTTGCACCTGTGGCAAAACTCAATACTGTAAGGGTACTCTTAATAGTTGCAGCTAATCTCAACTGGCCACTTTAACAACTAGATGTGAAGAATGCTTTCCTCAATGGTGATTTAGATGAAGAAGTCTTTATGGATCCACCTCCTGGCTTTGAAGGGAAATATGGATCAATGGTATGTATACTGAAAAAGTCCCTGTATGGCCTAAAGCAATCTCCAAGGGCTTGGTTCGAAAGATTTACTCAGTTTGTGAAGAAACAAGGATACACCCAGGGACAAGCAGACCACACAATGTTCACAAGGCATTCAACCGATGGGAAGATAGTTGTTCTCATAGTATATGTCGATGATATTATTCTTACTGGAGATGACATAGTTGAGATGGGATGCTTAAAGCAGGATCTAGCCTCTGAGTTCGAGATCAAGGACTTAGGTTTACTCAAATACTTCCTCGGTATGGAGGTAGCCCGATCAAAGAAAGGGATTGCAGTATCACAAAGGAAATATGTGATTGATTTACTTGAAGAAACATGGATGAGTGGATGTCGTCCTGCTGAAACACCAAAAATCAAAAGTTTGAAAATAGGGGAGGAAGACCAGTAGATACTGCCCGATATCAAAAACTAGTTGGAAAGTTAATCTATTTGTCACACACATGACCAGATATAGCATTTGCTGTGAGTCTGGTAAGTCAATTCATGCATTCTCCCCAGGAGGAACATCTTCAAGCTGTCTACCGCATCCTAAGGTATTTAAAGGGCTCACCAGGAAAAGGACTGTTTTTTGAGAAAAGTGAAAAACGGAGTATTGAGGGATACACAGACGCAGATTGGGCAGGGTCTACTATGGACAGGAGGTCCACTTCAGGCTATTGCACATTCGTATGGGGATATTTAGTGACTTGGAGGAGTAAGAAGCAGAATGTAGTGGCTAGGAGTAGTGTTGAAGCAGAATATAGGTCTATGGCACTAGGAGTTTGTGAGATGGTGTGGCTTAAGCGAATCCTAGAAGAACTAAGAAGACATGTGACAACACCTATGAGATTGTACTGCAACAACAAGGCAGCCATCACTATTGCCCACAATCCAGTTCAACATGACATAACGAAGCACATCGAGATCGACAGACATTTCATAAAAGAGAAGATTGAAGCTGGAACAGTATGTATGCCGTTCATTCCAACCTTACGACAAGTCGCTGATATTCTCACAAAGGGACTGTTCAGACCAAGATTTGAAGAACTTACTAGCAAGTTGGGCATGATAGATATCTATGCACCAACTTGAGGGGGAGTGTCGGAATCAAGAAAGAGGATAAGGATCATTGACCGGATCCTAATCTAATCCAGTAAATGAGACTTTAGAGATAGAGTTAGGAAGAAGTTATCTTCTTATTAGGAAGTAGTTACCTTATTTTTAAGTTTTATAGATTTCTTAAGATAAGGATCTCCTTCAAGATAAGTGATCCCGGTTAGGTTATTTTTCCTATAAATATTGTAAATGTTATACAGAGTAATAATAAGAAGGAATATTTTCAGTCCTAAAAACCTTCAAATACATATATACATATATATATATATATACAGTCAAGAATTAGATAGAGGACAAAATATGTGCCATCATAAAATTATTTATAAAATTGGTTTAATTAAGATATGTAGAACAAATTTACCTGTGGCCTCATGTCATAATCTCGCAATATAGGAACTAACTGCTCTCCAACCTGATTGAAATAATATGACATCAGAATTAATACGTGGTTTTCCAATTTGTGGAGCCATGCTATAACCAGTTAACAACAAAAGCAGATTAAAAAAAAAATTCGCCTTACCAATGATGGGAACTTCAAATATATGTTAATTGCAAATGTCTCCAGGTATTGGCGAACAGCAGGTAAGTTGTTTCTCTGCAATTAGGATAAAAGCCATAAGCATTACAAGTAACAAGTATAATTCATTTTGAAGAGGCCAGAAGGTAAAGCTATGCATGAAAACTTGAAAGTTACTGAGATGATGAATAGTAGTTTCAACAATGATAACTTAATAAGAGAGTATAGCAATAATTATTTATGATGTAAATTTACTTACAGAAAGGGATATGTTCAATTGATGTGTGACTTGGCCGACAATATCTCGACGGACAAACCGTGACAAAACACATATCATTTGCCAGGCGCGTATTTTGCGTCTATGGATCTGTTATAAAATAGAAGTCAGAAAAGTGATCAATTAGAAACGATGACAAAAATAAGAGATGATTGGTGACCATTCAAAGCATGTCCAAATGTTCCATTTGCACATTTATATTTTAGTAAACAATAAGCTTTATATTTTTAAAAGTCCATAAAGGGAATGAATACTCACTGCACTGTACTTCTTATACAACTCCTTTGAAAGATCCTTGTCGTTTACCTACATGGCAACATGACTGAATCAAAACGAAGATATTGTAAAAGGAACTTACCATTCACCAATAAGATGTCGTTTCAACATCCCAATTGAGATTTTTTTTTTGGTGGTTAATCTCCCGACTGAAAACTTAAAGAGTCGATCTATAAACAAAATTTTCAGCCTTCAAACACTATACCACAATTCTGAATAAGTGAAGTTCATCTAGCTCAGTTGGTAATGTTTCTAATAGTGTACCAAAGACTTGACAATCTCATCTTCATAATATTTAAGAAGGGTTTTGAGAAAGGAAGGACATATCTCCTGTTCTATGTTAGCAATAAATAATATTATTATGAAAAGACGGAATATGATTTCTTTAATTATTGATCAAGATTTAAAAAACAATTTGAAGGACACTACCTACGACAAAAAAAAAAAAAAAAAAAAAAAAAAAAAAGGAAAAGAAAACTACTAGTTATTGAGAAGAGTGCATGGTTCCATAATGATGAAAATTTAATATACACTATACGATGCAAACAACTTTCTCTTGTTGGTTACTTGAAATTTGTATTAGAGGTTAGTGTAAGAATTTGAAACCTAAAATGCATACCACAAAATGCAATTACCACGGAACTAAGAAGTTCAAGGAGAAACAGTTTTCCAGCTTCCAAAGCAGCAAGGCAGTCTCCACGTTCGTTGTTTGTTCCAACCATGTCAGCTAAATCAGCTAACTTGTAAAATAAAACAGCAACAGACACACGTGCATACAACTCAGTGTTGATAAACGCCTGACAAGAAAAGAGAAAGTCAAATGACTAACTATTAGCAAAAAGCAACCTGGACGGAACAATTGGACAGCCACTGGCAGAATCAATTCCATTTGCCACATGCCCGTCCTACCAATTTATAATATCTTTCCTAAGCCCCATCCTCCAACTTTCTATTATAAAATATTAGCAAGAAAAGATAGAAAACAAATACGAAAATAAAGAAAGGGAAAGTCACAATTACACACTTGAAGAAAATAAAAATTATTTTGAAGTTGCCTTCATAGCAACTATAAAGACTTCAAAGTTCAAATATGTACTTTAAAAAAAATGAAAAGAAAAAACAAATATTTCATAAAATAGTGGACCCTTCACTTCCAACTAGATGATTGTTGCCACTATGTAACATCTTTAAGCACTGTGAAAAAATAAATAATCAAATAGCTTACCTCACTCAGTTCAGGTTCGGGGCTTTTAGCCAATAAGGAAACTTCAATCCTTGTATCCTGATTATCAGCTAATTCAGCTTCAAAATCTTCATCAAATGCAACTGGAAAGAAAATTATTGAGTTATATAACCGAAATAATGGAAACCCGCAAAGGATCAGTAATCAAGAAGAGTGCAAGACATACCAGAACCATAGAGTGACAGAAGTTTCAGCTCCTTCACGTAGTACTTTATAAATCTAGGATTTGACAGCCACATCCCTGTTAAGTGTAGTGCTGAAAGACGAATTGTGCGCGGGCTTTTTGTGCCTTCCTCAAGAATTTTTTCAATAAACTGCCAAAGGTGTTAGTTATAATACTTGCTTAGCCATTCACCGGTTTTTAGGACAAAAGTAACAAAAGATATTATATTGGCGAGCAAGAAACATGTAGAAAATGCACACACATAATGAGAGAGGGACCACATACCCACTTGAGAGGCCCAGGTGCATTCTCAGTTGAATGCATGCTCTCATCAGCAATCAGGGAAGAATGAAGAACAGAAGATAAAAGTGCAGCAATGGGTGCAACCTTTCGCTTGTTGCAGCTGATATGCAATACCCAAGCAGAGTGAACCAAATTCCATATCAACTGAAATTAAATTCAAGATTCAAATAAATGTGAACAAGTCATTTCTCCTACTTCATCAAATTGTCATTCATAATAAAGAATACATGTATTTCCAAATTGTCACATGCTGTCCAAAAAGTCACTCTCCAAGCATTTCTGTTGCCTATGGGGCCGTTTGGAAGGTATACTCAAACCATGATTTTTGATTCTGATGTTTGAAATTCAAATTTTTTGTGAGAGGAAAACATTGTAGCAAAATCAATGATTTGAGTTTGAGTATATGAAACAAACAGGCCCTATACTTCTCTGCAATCAGAGACAGGTCATAAAGCCCATAGAGAAGCACCCATCCAATATAAGAGTTAGGAAGCAAACCTGCGCTTCAACCCCATTGCAAGAGGAGACAAGAGAGCTCGACTTTCCTTTATCAAAGAGGCCCAAAGCTAGTCTGACTGATCGCAGAATAGGTAAAACAGAACCTTCTCCAGCGTTCTCAAGGCTGCAGAATACATGGAAGTTGACAAGTCAAGAATACAATTTCCCATATGTTGAACCCACTATTGTACCCACAAAAACAACATTAGAGAGTGAGTAACAAAAATATCCAGTTAGACATTAACCAATTAAAAAAGAAGATTAGTAAAGAATATATACATTTCAGAAAGAACAAATACTGATAATCTCATTTCATAGAAACTCTGCGAAAACAGACACGTATATATTGCACCATAAAGCTGAAATAATAATAATAATAATAATAATAATAATAATAATAATAATAATAATAATAATAATTTAAAAGAAATTTAACAGTACCCCAATAAACACCCAAAAAATAATAAATCTTCAAAGCTCTAAAGCCACAATTTCAAAAGAAGAACTATACGCTTAGCCAATTTCTAGAACACATTTAATCTAATAAATAACACCTCTCTAATAACCGGATTGTTAATGAATACGACTAACATTGCTGAGTACTCAAGAAAACCAACAAGTACAAATTTCTGGTATGAGCATTAAAAAAAGGATTAAGCTCGTAATTTCTTACTTCTCAACAAGATCACTAAAAATAGCTCTTAGAGCTGTATCCGAGAAGAAAGTATTATGGTCCTCTAAATGCAGCCCATTGTTAACAGCATAGCTGGGAATCGATAACAAAGATTCTAGGCAAAGCCACTGCATCGTTAACAGAAAATTAGTTAACATCACATACTGTCATATAATAGAATATACTTAGCCACACGCATATGAAGATAATATAACATGTAATGGCAGGACGACCCAAGGAGAGAAATGATAGAAAGGAAATTACAAGAATAATTTATTTAAAAAATATACTAAAGATTATTCACCTTCCAGTTCATTAGAACTGCACGTCGTGTTCGTACCAAAACTCCAACTGCAAGAAGATCGTTGATATTCTGAAGGAAAGAGAGAACCAAGGAATCTAACAAAGGTTTGCCTTCCACTTTCGATAGCAACTGCTTGTCATTGTCAGTAACAAAATCCAGAGTTTGAGGTGAAGACACAGACGCTAGAGCTCTAAGAGCATAAGCTAAAGCTTCATATGCAGCAAGACAAATTTCTGCTCCCGTCTGCTTTGTTGCCCACAGATAAACTACAGAAATTAGATCGTAAAAACTAGCAAAATCTTGAAAGATAAAATCTTCCACAAAGAAAAAATCAAAAAATATCTTAATACGGATAATTCAATACAACTTAACACACCTCTGAATCACAAGCTGAAGACGAAATTGTATTCCAGTAGAACTTCCAGAAAAACTTGAAAGCAGAATTTAGCAAAGAACCACTTTCAAACTGTGCACACCAGGACGATATTAGCGCAACAGTCTTCACAGATGTTATCTGTTTATTTATGGGCAAGAAAGGTAACCGAAAAAATAAATGTATATCAGTAGAAGAAACCTGACAAACTGGAAACCAAAAAAAATTCAAAACCACAACAAACTAAGTATGTGGGTACAGAGAATCAACTCAATTAAAGATGATTTGTGCAAATAATCTTACAGCTTGAAGCACATCAGTGGTGGTGGAAGATGATAAGCGGCGCTGACTTGGGCCTCCAAGCTTTCCTTTAACAGAACCAGGGAGGGTATCCTCTACCTTAATGCTAGAAGAGAAAACTGAACAAGATGAGTTCGCATACACGACTAGCTCCTCCTGCAAGTTAGTTGAAGAAATTAATGTACCACAGAACGATAAATAGCAAGCTTAAGAGAAAGATATAGATAAACAAAACACTTAAAAGCCCAGTCCAATCAGTTCGCAGTACCATGATGGAAAGGAAAACACTGGTGAACCTCTGATATAAAGTAGCAGCATCTACATAACTTGGTTTATCTATCGTCTCAATCAGTCCAAATTCTGATCTGGTTCTGAACTTGATACCATATTCAGTGGTTCTTTCCTGCATTATCTGAAGCTCCATAACCAAGCTCAAGGTGAGGATGAGAAACTTAACAGGTACATACTCTACATTCTGATTTTGGCTGCAGATATTAGAAACTTGATTTCGAATGAACTGCAAAAAAAAGCAGTATCCATCGTAAGTTAGAACCTTCGGGTGGAAGTTTTTATTAAAACAAGATTACATGGGAAGTGGAAGAACAATCAATGAAGATGAAAAAGGGAGAGGAAGAACGGAAGTGAGGGCACACCGTCCATATGGGTATCAGATGACTCTCCTCCTTGATTGCAAGAAAAAGTACTCTTGCCCATCTTTTTGCTTCCGATTCCCACGCATCTAAGTCACCATCATCATAAGTACCAAATGCATTAACCATATAATGAGCACTACAATACCTGCTGGTGAAGTCATGGAGGCTCTTCAAAAACTTCAACTCCATATTGGAACAGTTGACACTGCATTGCTTCTGTCCACAACCCATAAGCCATTCTTGTACTTTGGGTCTTAAAGAACCTAAAGTGCACGAGATGTAGAGAGAATGATTACATGTGCACGCAGAAACACATGTAGAGTTACATGTGCATGCACATACATGCATATATGAACGTCCACATGGGCATTTTCAGAAATACAAATACCAGAAAACTAACTTCAGATATATATATATATATATATATATATATATATATATAACCTGCTTAAAACATCAGACTTACCACCAGAATCAGTAAATTCCCGTGGCAATATTGAAATAAAGTGCAATAGTACCTCAAGAGGCACATCAAACGTACACACCACTGAAGCACCAGTCTCAAGGATTTTCTCACAAACTGGAGTAATCAAAACAATACCCAGTTAGTTATCATCTCGACTTTTGATTAATATTTATCAATATTAATCCTTAAATGAAAAAACATCCCAACCCAATCAAATTAGTTATTTGAGACCTCGGAGTCGATAGTTTGGATTGAAATGCTGTTTGCTGCTCTCAATAATGAACCTCAAAGCATCAAGTAAAACAATTTTGTCGTTTTGAGGAGAACTTTCCGAGTCGAACGCATCTTGATCCCCTTCTGCTTCATTGTCATTATCAGGAGTCGTAATTTGATGAGCAGCTGAAGCTACGCATTCAGCAAGGCCCATCAATCCAGCTCTACTGAATGATTGCTGCCGGGCAGTAGATGCTAAATTGCAAAGAAAAGAAATCCACTTCCTGTAACCATTTGGAATGGCACTCAATATCATCCTTTTTTCAAAAAGCAATAACAATTTCTAGAATCCACATGCTCGCCCACTAAGATTAACAAACAGAACTCTTATTTAATTATTTTTTCTTTTGAAAAAAGATGAAGAAATAGAACAGGTTTTGTCAATCTTTAGGTGGCAAGAACTTAAGCGTTAAGAATCGTAAAAAACCGTGGAATCAAGACCTTGGACTTGATTTGGTAGAATCCTAAAATCTGCCCCATGATAAATTTTGAATTTTAAACAAAGGTTCAGAAAAAGTTGAGCACATATTAAAAGATAATTTCCAAGCACAAGATTGAATACCTCAGACTGAGACAACTAGCATATAGGTGTAAGAACTGAGCGGCATCTTCAATTGTCCTCGATGAGTATACTCCTTTTACACCTGTAGCAAAGCAGAACAAGGAAATAAGTCAACAAAATGAAATACAACAGACAAAGTACAGGTTTCCTTTTATTTTTATTTTTATTATTATTAATAACAATAAATGAGTGAGAGAGATAGCAAGAAGAACTCGTTTATCTTATTTAGATGAACTTTTTGTAGTACTGAGTGCAGACACTAATTTCTTACGCAAACATGTATAACCGCGTACTTATTCTAAGGTAATCCTTTGGGATATTCAAAGTGCTACAGTTAATAAATGCATCAACCCTGTTCCTATCTCATAGTAATATTTTATGTAAAGACTAAAGATAATTTAACTAATTCCAAGTCTAACATAAACATAGTGTACTATTTATTGATAATACAGTGAAAAACAAAATTTTCTTGGTTATGGCTGAAAAATATAAAGTTACAAACCAAATTCTTTGTGCTGCACAGGATCATTTAATGCTAGTAAGAATGAACCGAGAACAAAAGTTTCCGGTAGTGAATTGGCGAAGTTTCCATAATCCTCCCACTTGATGCCCAAAATTGATTGCATTATCAAGCACCTAACTGCACATAAGCAACAGATGAAGAGACGGAAAAGACTGTCTAGAATATTAACCTTTGCTAAATAAGTATGTAATAATGTGTGGAATCTGCCATTTATCTAACTACTTGTCACTTTAAACAAATTTTCCCAATAAATTTCCCAAGTCATCAAATGGACAGGCTAAGAGTTACCATTACCTTGTGGATTATCATGATGGAGTCCCCGCTCCCACAAAATTGCCAACCAATTGAAGATTTCACCTGACATTGCAAGTTGATTTTCATGTAGTCCTCCACCATCAGAGCTTGCAGAACTTACATGTGAGATAGAAGATTGGAGCAACAAGGATACCTACAACAAAATGATAGACATGAATGAGCTTCTCAGAAGGCTGCTGAAAAACGTCAAAAAAGATGTACCAAGTAAGAAATCTTCTTTTAGCTTGTAGGAAGCCATGTGATATGATTATTTGAATTTAAACTAGGGCGCATAAGAACAAGAATGCAATTTGAAACAGAAAAGAGAAATAAAAAAAATAAAAAAACAAAACAAAACAAAACAAAACCACACACACACTTAAGAGACCACCTGATGATTCCAAGCTGCTTCAACCAAGTGAGTACCATACTCTTCAAGCATCTCATATAGCAACACGAATGCTTCCCACTTCTGCTGGCTGTTCAAATAAGGCTCAGTTGGGTTACAAATTCTGCCAACACCAAGTGACTTGGCTTCCATTTCAGCCCACACTTCCCTCTTTGTCATGCCCTGAGGAGTTGAATGTTTTTTGTTCAAAATAGTCTCAGATGCGCCAGATGAGCGCCCCCCTCCATCTTCATTTATGTGCACTACTGTCTTTAGTATGTGTAACGATTGCTTCCTCACTGAGCCCTCCTTATCAATCTGACCAGTAACACCAAAACTAAATAAATAAATAAATAAATAAGATCTGTCACTATGCAGTTGAGTTACTTCACAACGAAATTAAAATGATTTAACGAGATATGACCAAGTGGTACTGCTACTTACCAAGCCTCTTTTAATTACATTCCAAAATTCCTTGTCAGCTCTTATATCCAGTCCAACTTTATCAGCATCTCCACATTCGTCTTTACCAGTCAAGAAAGACAAATAAAGAGACAGTACACTATAGGCATCTCTTCTCTCTATAGGTCCAAGAGAAAATAGTGTTCCACAGCACTTCCAAATTTTCACAAAGAAATCGTTCCTGGATGTCAATCAGATATTTAGAAGAGTGTACATATAATGAATGCCTGTTGATAAAGAAAATACATGTCAGTAAAACAATCACGTTTGTAAGAAGGCGTAGAGAATACCTGGAAATCGTACACTCCTTCCCATTAATCATAGCTTCAAAGGAGGGATGAGATGCAAATGCTTTGAAAATGATTGGGAGAAGAAAGCTTATTGCACAAGTGCGGTGTTCCAACCTTTCTAGAAGCATATGTTCAGCCATACTGCAAAGACCCCAAATCAAGTCCCCAGCAAAATGTTGAGCATCAACACAACCATTAGCCACTATCGATTCTGCTGTTTTAGCTATTTGCTGGTTTGAAAGGGCAACATCAAGCATTATGGCTAGGATGTGGCATGAAATCGGCATTGGAAGGGACCAAGTTGGATATTGAAAGTGATCCTTATCCAACTCCAAACGACCAAAAATGTTATTTTCTGATTCTTCATTTTGAAGCATACCAAAAGAATGATAAACTGATCTTAACAAAAATGGAACCAGGCTTGTCTCAACAACTACCCAGCTATTTGTCTCAATCACGACAACAACGAATGATTCTGCAACCTAATGACAAAGTTTTATGCAACAAGAACTTTTTGATAAGGAAGTATTCGACAAGGTTTCATCCCAGTCAACAGGGAAGTTTTTGATACAACAGGGCTAAAACAAGAACTTATCATCATATTCATAGCTAAGCTTTTAGTGTCTACCTGGTTAAGCAATCCGCGGTCAAGAGTATGCAGTTCCTTCATCAATGGGAGAAAAACTCTCCAAATAAACAATTTTAGAGCATCATGATTAAAGCCTGCAGAGAAAAGTTATTGATAGAAAGGTGCAGACCAACTTATCATTTACAGCCTTGAAAGCTAACAGACAAAAAGCCCTTCTTTCAACTTACAAACGCCAATTAAATATGTTTTTCTAAAAAATAAAGAAGAACAAAGACACAAATCGCACAGACAAGTTTGCTAGAAACAATAAATAACATTAGTAAAAGAAATGCTTCGTGTAGCTCTAAATTTTCCGATGCTCCGATATAGTAACAATAATCCATTTCTCAACTTGGTTATCAACGTTCACACAGCTCAATTAAAATATTAGACACATGTCATTCCCACAAAAGTTATGAATAGTACAGCACACACCCGCAACAAATCAACTAATCCCGATGGCAAATGTGACACAATGATCATAGAAATTCATAGCAACTTGAGGCAGACTAACACGCATAAGCTCCAATCAACAATATTTTTCCTGACAAGTGACAATGCTTATCGCAAACGTTCTGGCAGCCATGAAAACATACACATTACAAGTGTAAGTAACTCAAAAGAACTCAATTCTTTGATTTTCTCTGGAACCATTACTCACCGAGTTTCTGTAAAAGGTGGCAAAGTGCGGTGACGAAAGACGCCAGGTAACTATACTGATCAGAATCCAAGTTGTTGCCTTCGCTTAAGCCCTAATTAAAAACGGTTAAATTAACTCAATCATGCAACCTATACATACTAAAAAGAAAAACCGGGCAAAACTAACAAAAAATGTTCAAACTCAAACTCATTTTACTCTCTTGTCATACAAAAACTGCTCTCAAAAATAGAGAAACAATCATAATGCAGATTTCCACATTTTCCCTTTAAGTTTATCTCTTTATCAAATAAACAGACAAATAAAGCCTAACAAAAAACTGGGTATTACTCAAAATGCAGATTCCAAAATTCCCTTCAAATTAAACAATGTATGTAACGTCTTAGTTGTTCACTTTGCATCTTCTCAAGAACTAAACAGACTAGTAATACAGTCCTATATATATATATATATATATATATAAGGTATTTTAATGGAATTGGTAGTACCTTGGTGAAGTCAGGAGAAGTATCAATAAGTGAAGTGAAAAGGGTCGACGGAGATAAGCCGGTAGAAGCCAGAAGGCAATCCAGAACCGCCGGAATTGCAGGCGGATGAACTAGACGGAAGCTGTTCCACAGGGAAGTGGTGAGAGAAGTAGTAGCGTCACTGTCGTTTGAAGCCATGTTCGTCAAATGATTGCAGAGACTGAGCGTCCTTCTTCCCTTGTACAGGATCAGAGAGCGGGTTGGAATTGCAGTAGTTGATTTTTAACGGACTTTTCCTTTGGGTTGTTCTTTTTATAAATAAAATAAATAAATAAATAAATTCTCAGATAAACCCTAGGCTTAAGAATCATAAACCCTGAAAATTTAAATATGTTGATTGTCGTTCTGAGAAAACTACATGTCGTTTCTTCACAAAAAGTACATGTCATCTCGCCTCTGAAAATAAACTATTTCGCAACCTTTCTTGGAAACGACATGCTGTTGCTTTGGTTAAAAAATACGGATAAAATCATTTTGGTACATTTTGTTATAACAAAACATCTTTCTAGTGTTTTATAGGTGTCCTATATTTTTAATAATATAACAACGGTATCTCTATTGTTAAAGAAATTTACATTGATTTCCGAAATATAAAATGCTCATTCTACCATTTTCACTAATTAACAATAAACTAGTAATTTCAATAAAAGAATTTGAGTGTACTTTAAAACATTAAAAATTAAATAATCAAAATAAATTAAAATGCTTTCAAAAAAATATTTTAAAGCTACTAGTTTTTATATTATTATAAAAAAGATAGTTTAGATATTATATGTCTCAAAAATTAGTTTTAAGATACTAAAAAATATTTCTTTAAAGGTGAAGGTATTGTTTAATATTATTAAAAACACATAGTACTAATAAGATGTTTTGCTATAAAAGATGGTACTAAATAATTTTATCCTTACAAAATAATATTTTTTTTTGCTCATTTAAAGTTGTTGTGATTTAATTGAAAACGACATGTCCTTGTTGTTCCAACTTTTGTCGTTTGATAAAGCGACATGTATTTTGTCGTTTGAGATTAATTTTGTTTTAACTTAAACACTACAAGTAGAGCATGCAACGATGCACTACTAATAGACGTTTTAATTCATGACATTTTTAAATGTACACGTGAAATATGCTAATATATAATAGTTATTTAACTATGACTAAAAGTACGACACAATTAATTGTCAAATCATACATACCAAAATTATATAAGAAGATTAAGAAGAATAATTTAACAAAAATCTACAAAGACCAAAAATTTTAATGAAACATTTCACTAATACTCTGTATTTTTAATAATATTAAAATGATGTTTTTACTTTTTAAAAAAATCTTCTTTTAGTAATTTGAAATTGATGTTTAAAACATAAAATGTCAATTCTACTATTTTCATTAATAAATTAGTAATTTTATTTTAAAAAAATAAAAAATACTTTAAAACATTTAAAAATCAAACAATCAAAATAAATTAAACAATCAAACACCTTTTCCAACCACTAATTCTTTAAATAAGGGGGGGAGGTAACTTTTTAGTGTACCTTGCTTCTTGCCAAAACGACAACAAATGGGAAGTGGAAAGGGTAGTGCGCACACCATGAAAATTAATTCATGAACAAACACCAACTTCAGCATCGCATTTCCCTAGTCACCAAACAAAACAAAACAAAACTCCTATATAATGAGCCGCCAGCTTCCCATTGGGCAGCGGAGACTGAACAGTGTTTGATTGATGCTTGTTTATTTGTCATCATCATCGTTAACCCACCTCCACTTTCCACTCTTTTAGTCCTTCCAATTCCAAACTTCCCAACTCCACAAACACTTTTGGATCTCACAATGCATTCGTCACAATCTCTTCTTGTCCTTTTGATCGCTCTAAGTAAACCCAATTGATTACAAGTGTGTGTTTCTTTGTTTTATTGATGGGATTTTCATGAGTTTGATAGTGAAATATTTGATCTTTTCAGGTCTGCTCGGATTGGTAGTGGGTGAAGATGGGTTTTGCTCTGCGGGTTCTGTGATTAGCAGCTCGCCTTCGGAATCGAATTATCTGTATTGGAAAGTCACCAATCCCACGCTCTCTCCTTCTCATCTTCAAGGTTCGTAAACAATAAAGCTTGATTCTTTTTTTTTTCTTTTTTTTTGTTTTATGAAGGAAGCTTGATTCTTTTTCATATAATACTATATGGGCAAATCGAAAATATTAAATTTCAAATTTCAGCCCCCCCCCCCCAACAAAAAAAAAAAAAAAAAAAAGCAGCGGTTACACTGAACTCATAATGGTGAAAGTGAAATTTGGGCTATCTTTTTAGTAGAATTAAATGAGGATTTTTCTTTTCAATTAGTGGGTCCTGAGGTTTTTTAAAAGGGGGCGGGAGACATCAATGGTCCCTTTATTTAGCAAAAATAAATAATTAAAAAAATTTTGATTTTAGAAACTTTTCTCTAGTTCAGTTACGAACTTGATTCTCAACTGCAATGGTGTTCAGGAGAAATTAAAAGTCTTTGAAGCTAATGTTGTTTTTTTATTGGCAGACTTGCCAGGTTTCACACGCAGTGTTTATAAGAGAGACCACGCTTTGATAACACCTGAGAGTCACGTGTTCAGTCCTTTACCTGAATGGTATATTTGGCTCTATGCTATGATGTACTGGTGTACTTAGAAAGATTATCTTGTATTTGTTGATCTTGTAATCGGAACCACTGTGACAGGACAAATACATTAGCGGCCTATTTGATAACACCGGCCATGGGTGCGCACTTTGTGATGTACCTCGCAAAGATGCAAGGTTTTTTGAAAACTCGAAAGCTTGCTGACAATCATCTCTTTTGATATTCATGTGTATTTGGAACTTGTTTTTCTAAAGTAGGTTTCTGATTTGTGCTTAACTGTGCAGGGAATTCGGAATCTGGACTCCCTTCTTCTGATGTTGAGAGGTGTGGTATTTCTCGCTTTTCCTTGTAGTTTTTTTTGTCTTTTAACATGTTATGATGCATTTCCCGTTTTGGTTTTACCAGGATTTATTCCCTTGTACTTATTTCAGTGTACTTATACTTTTGTGCATGTTTATATAACTAGGTTCATATTTGTGGTTGAGGGTTCTGTGACAATGACTAATGTTTCGGGAGCTAGCCACACACTTAAGGTAAAAAGATGGAGTGATGTTTAAAAGTCACTTGTGAATTTCATTCAACATTTTTGCAGCTTTTGATAATAGCAGTTTAACACTGAAGCTGTCTCCATTTTGCAACTATCTTTTTGCATGCTAATTTTATGTTTGCCTATTATGTTGAAGTTCTTTTTTCGTTTACACTAATCTCGTATTTTATTGAATTGATCATGTTAAACTCTCGTCACAGTCTTCGTTATGATAATATTTTGAGGTTGTCATTTCTTAATAAACTTAAAACACTACCTGTAACTTGTCGGCGGATCTAAATCATAAACAAGCTAAGTTATTGTACTTGTAATAAACTTGTTAGTTTTCTGCTTCTGGAGTGACCACTAAAATCAGGAAATAGAAGGGGGAAAAACCAAGAAGACAAAGGAGTTAGTTTTGAAGAAATTTTAGAGATCTATGGCTTAAACAATCTTGTTGGAACATTAGTTTACTTCAGTGCAATGATGACGTTCAATGTATTTATTGTCTACTCTAGATGAACTATTGAGATTTGAATTTATCAGCAAGGAATGACGCTGAAATGTACCATCGACAAATGCTAAACGGAAGTTTGATCTTCTTAACATTTTAATTAGAGCACCTGTAACTTGAAACACCACCTTTAACTTGTCAGTGGATCTTAATCATAAACAAGCTAAGTTATTGTACTCGTAATAAACTTGTTAGTTTTCCGCTTCTGGAGTGACCACTAAAATCAGGAAATAGAAGGGGGAAAAACCAAGAAGACAAAGGATTTAGTTTTGAAGAAATTTTAGAGATCTATGGCTTAAACTATCTTGTTGGAACATTAGTTTACTTCAGTGCAATGATGATGTTCAATGTATTTATTGTCTACTCTAGATGAACTATTGAGATTTGAATTTATCAGCAAGGAATGACGCTCAAATGTACCATCGACAAATGCTAAACGGAAGTTTGATCTTCTTAACATTTTAATTACAGGTTGATTCATATGCATATTTATCTCCGAACTTCAAACATTCACTCAAGTGTGAAGCATCTGCTACTCTCATAGTCTTTGAGAGAAGGTTTGTTTCCCAACATTATGAATTTTATAGTTTTAGTGAATATTTTTCATTTCATCCCATCAAATCTCACGCCAGTCCTGTAGTATGCTTAGCAGAAGAGTTCACAAAATCATCTTTCAACCCAATCGATAAGATTAGGATGGAACCCTTGTTTTTTTGTCCATAAAACTTTTGTTTTCCGTCAAACTATATAGAATCCAGTCTCTGGTTATGAGAAATCTAGGTTTCTACATCTTCTCAATGGTCTTGGTTGTACTCTTTAAATTGGCTAATATGCTTTCTTCTTTTAGACATGCCTCTTTAGAGAACCTTGTAACTGAGCAGATTGTGGGTTCAACAGATCAGCAACCGCTTCTTGAAACTCCTGGAGAGGTAAGTGTTGCATTTCTTATGATATTTACTTCTACTCTCCTTTGCTTTCTCACTTTAAACAATATTCGAATTTTGTTTTGGAATAATCAATCCTTAACATGAAGTATGACAAGAAATTTCTGTATCCATGTGAGTCAGATCTTTGAGCTTAGGAAGCTTCTGCCCACTTCTATACCATATGACTTCAATATCCATGTAAGTCGTCTTGGCTGTTCGGTTTAAACCTTTTTTTTCATGGTTGTGGCCTTCTTTTAATAGTAATTCGACTTTGTTGGATTGGACCCTTGTCTTTTCAGATTATGGATTTTCAGCCTGGAGAATATCTCAACGTTAAGGTATCTCTGTGTGCGAGTGTCTGTCTTTTCTGATTGAATCTATTATGTTGATTCGAACCAAAATGTGTCGCTCCTCACCTTGTATTGATTTCACTCGCATCAATAAGGTTTCACTGTTTATTATTAAAAAAAAAAAAGAAAGAAAAAAAATCAATTTGGGTTAAAAGTTCTGGTTTAGTCTAGGTGGAATTAGTTGTAGTTATTATAGTATTGTAATTGGTCATTCTTAGTGAAGCTTCTTTTTTTCCGATAAATGATGTTATTATTTACTAATACTGGATTAACTACAGTTATTATTAGTTGTTTCCATACTTGAACTGGAGGGGTATGCATGATTATTTTGATTTTTCAGGAGGTCCATTATAATCAACACGGTTTATTGCTTTTGGAGGGACAAGGCATTTACCGCTTGGGCGATAGCTGGTAAGAATTATATTTTAAAGGCTCTTTATTTTATTTTTATTTTTGCAGCTATTATTTTAAGAACTTTATCGGTTGGATGAACAATCACTATTTATCATTTGTTAACATCATGGAAGAACTGATAATTCATTGCAAGCAGCAAACGATTTCATTGAACGGCTGCTATATTGCGGTTTAGAGTTTCGTGTTAATTGCTACCAATTTTCACCTAATCTCAGCAGCATTCTGCTTGGTGTTCCTAGCTTGATAATTGATTGCCGCTGTCTCGAAATCTGTTTTGATCAAATTTTCTCATTGGCTGTAATGTTTAACAGGTACCCTGTTCAAGCTGGTGATGCGATTTGGATGGCGCCATTCGTGCCTCAATGGTATGAAACATTTCATTCTTGTACCTTGTTTTTTGGCGCTGAAAAAGTTATTTTCTGTGATTCATTTTTCGAAAGTGATTTTGATTAGGTAACTTTTCAGGTATGCTGCACTGGGTAAAACTCGGTCACGATATTTGCTGTACAAAGATGTAAATAGGAATCCCTTGTAGTCATATTTGACATGAGAATATGTGATTTGAACAGATTTTGTGTTGTGCTACAGGTAGTATGTGCGTAGTAAACAACCAAATATTTGTCACGCTTGTTTTCTGTAGTTTAAAGGCACTTTGAATTGCCTCGTTAATTTATGCTAAACTTCTTAATGATTTAATAGTGCACAAATTGTATGAGCTTATGTTTGGTAGAATGGAAAAGGGAGAGAAAAAATTAGAGGGGTTTTGAAGAAGAAGAAAAGGGAATCTTAAAGCTCGTTTAGTTCGTTGATTCGAGTTTTTAATTCGAGTTGAGATGTGATTTTATGTGAGAGTTTTTTATTGTAACAAAAAAGTTAGATACAACTGTTTCTGAGAGCTTTTTATTGTAACAAAACTCAAATTTTAAATTCAAATCTGTGAAATGAATGAAACCTTAGAGTGTTTGTTTAAAGAGGAAATTGAGAAAGAAAACAAATTGCACGTTCATGGAGTCCTTTATTTTTTTTAATTTTTTAACTTTGGAGGGAAAGAAAGAAAAAGGAGAGAAAATATTTGACCTCAAACTATTTAGATATATTTACACATCAATGAGTATTATTATTTTAACCACAAAATATTAATGCGACAATCGTAATAAATTGAACAGTTGACTAAAAAAATTAATGACAATTAATAAAATTAGATTTTTATCACATCATAATATTAAATTTTTATATTTAAAGGTGACCATCAATGAAAACGTAACTATTAAAAACTCATCTATATATACATATATATATATATATATATATATATATCACCTTAAACTATTCACATATGTATATATACATACTTGACAATAATTGTATGTCAAATATCAGAGATGTGATTTTATGTGAGAGTTTTTTACTGTAGCAAAAAAGTTAGATACAACTGTTTCTGAGAGCTTTTTATTGTAATAAAACTCAAATTTTAAATTTGAATCTGTGAAATGAATGAAGCCTTAGAGTGTTTGTTTAAAGAGGAAATTGAGAAAGAAAACAAATTGCACGTTCATGGAGTCCTTTATTTTTTTAATTTTTCAACTTTGGAGGGAAAGAAAGAAAAAAGAGAGAAAATTTTGACCTCAAACTATTTAGATATATTTACACATCAATGAGTATTATTATTTTAATCACAAAATATTAATGCGACAGTCGTAATAAATTAAACAGTTGATTAAAAAAATTAATGACAATTAATAAAATTAGATTTTTATCACATCATGATATTAAATTTTTATATTTAAAGGTGACCATCAATAAAAACGTAACTATTAAAAACTCATCTATATATACATATATATATCACCTTAAACTTTTCACATATGTATATATACATACTTGACAATAATTGTATGTCAAATATCCATTTTCATCCTAAATCCAGCTCATTTCTTATTTGTATTGGGAAATAATAATAAAATAAATTACAATCGAAATTTTGTTTCACTTTCTCCCTCTTTTACTAAACAATATTTTGCTTTTTCTTACTTTCTTCTTTCCATTCCTCTAACTCTGTCATCATAGAAACATAACATTACTCGTTGGGAAAGAAATAATACTGAAAACCTTATATGATGTTAAATTTCGGTTGACTTTGATGAACTTCTATTATAGTGATACTGATCTTAGAAGATGTTTTGGCTACATAGGGATCACAGGCTTTTAAAGGAGGGACCAAAATATGAAGCAATAAGCAGCTTTTCTAATGAAGAGTAAGCAAGCACCTAGCATTAGAAAACTATTACTATGCAGATAAATAAATTATGAGAATTTACGCACCTTAAGAAACTCTTTTAAATTCTCATATCTTATTATTATCTACTCTTTTAAATTCTCATATCTTATCATTATCTATATCAAATTCTGTTAATTTTGTGTATTTTTTAAATGTGATATTAACCGGATTTACAGGTCGGGAACACAATAATAGTCATTAACCCTCATCTTGCTGAGATTGAATCAAATATTGGTTTTGAGGCATTGGCGAATATTCCTATCTTTACAAGGCAATGGTTTATATGGATAATGTTTCATAATTGCTTTGTCCTTTCGTATAAAGATTAGCAGTAGAGAATTTCAGAATCTCTTTTCTAACAAACTTTGAGTTAAATTATTAACATTATCATGATCAAATGCATATGTTAATTACCCTTTTCCTTTCCTTGGCCCACTACTGGCGTGGCAGCCCCATAAAGAGAATATCATGGTGGGCATGGAAAATCGAACGTGTGGTTGATAATGCCTCCACGTGGCAGCTGATGGACCACCTAGGATGAATCATTCTTTGGGCCCCACAGGTAAATTTTTTTTGTGATGGCCATAATCACCAATATTATGAAGTCCACAAGGCCACCACCACTAACACCACCGACCCATTTCCTCCACCACTCCTTTCTCAATTCCCCCCCGCCAAGTAAATTTCCCCTTACAGCTTTGGTGGGATTCCCTCCATATATATCAACCTTGCCCAAATGGGAATATTGTGATAAATATCATCTTCTTTTGTACAAGAAAAGGATTTCATCTTTTTTTTCTCTCTTTTTTGAGCTATACTTTCTCTAAAGCTATCATTAGTGGCATTAATTTTGTCACAAAATTCCCTCCCTCCTTTCTTAAAGGTTTCTTCTTGGTCATCAAATTCCCTTGCAATGACTTGGTTTTTTTTTTTTTTTTTTTTTTTTTAAACTCTGTGACCAAGACACACACATACTTTATCAAGTTGAAGTTTAGGAATTTGAACTCTCACAAGCCATTTGGCTCATGAACTCATAGCTAGGTTTATCTAAACATGAACTTATTCCAAATCAGTGTTTGGATGCGAATTTTGACTTCAGTTTGAATCATGATACGATATACTAAACCAACCAAATCATATAAATAAGAACTTGCAGCCCATCCCACCTCATCCCCCGCAGTTTAATTTCATTTAGTTTAAACCTATATTTCAAGCCACAAAACTTTTATAGTTCAAATAAAAATAACAAAAAAATAACAAAAAATAAAACCACCTCATCATTAAACTAGGGGTAGATTTACCGTTAGTTAGACATGCAATTGCTAGTCAAATATTGGCTCTTTATATCATGATAGACGTTAACAGTTTGGGCTAATTATTAACATTTTCGCTTCGTTTATTATCACTAAACAATGCCTCGACATTTTTCATTTGAGAGGTGCCTATTCTGAACTTTTAAAGGGTTATTATCTTGGCAGTTCGTTATTTCCAATTAATCTTTTGCTCCAAGCTATGTATATATATCCCTGTATAAGGAGATTATATCAAAAAATAAATAATTAAAATATAAGTGTATAAAGGAAGGAAAGGATAACACACTGCCGCTTTGTTCATTTTTTACTGTTTTTTCTTACATGGAAATTGGTATACTCTCAGGAGTTTTATTTTATGGTAGAATTCTCTTATTATTAGTGCAACTATATAATGTTATGTTATTAGGGTATTTTCTTTCAGTAAAAAAAAATACATTATAAATTTCCTAAATTATAAACACTGCAGAAAAAAAAAAATAAAAAAAAAGATTGTCATTATTGTTAACTTGTTAACCACAACTCGACCGGACGTGGAAGCACTTTACATAGTAACCTTATCTACTAGATGACTATGTTCCTTAATCCTAATTTGGATTGCTTAAACTACCAATTGAAACATTATTTTAAGCATTAATAAACAAAGAAATTAAATCATATAAGTTTTAAAAGTAAAAAAGTACAAAACAAAAATAAACGACAAAATTAGAATGTTATCTCTCTTTCATCTCAAGCTGACGGTCAGATCTTTATTTCTACTCTTTTTCAAGTTGTTCTTCAAGTTACCTTGTGCGTCTCTCCGACTTATGGCATGGCATCAACAAGCTCAAAACTCGCTAGGTAAAGTCAAAATTGGTTTCTTTCTTTTGTTTACTTTAAAGAAAGTAATTTTTTTTTTTTTTGTGTGCTTTAGAATTCATTTTATGTAAGTTTTAGTTAATTCATATTTAAGATAACATTTAAATAAAAAATTATTAAGGGTATTTTTTTGATTTTATAAAACGGGTTAAAGGGTTGTTTTTTTATGTTATAAAAAATACAATCAATGGATATTTTTTAATTGGTTTAAACTTGGGGACATTTGTGGTATTTCAAAGAAACTCAATGGATAGTTCATTACAAAAAAATTGTCATTTGAAAATGGGATACTTATGTTGTTAAATTAGTTTTAGCAATGCTTATCATCGTTGTTAATTCTCATTTTTCTTGTATGGATTTTTCCCTTCATAAAAATTAAAAGAGGAAGTTAAGATGGATAAATGACACGGATTTCTTCCCATCGATCTATATAACATGTATGAATAAAGTATTGTTCAAATACATGAACATAGTTTCAGGTTGTGCAATATTTGTATGCTCTATAATCTATATTATCCACTAATTAATAAGGAATTAAAAAATTTTGTTTTACTGCATGGTGACGTGTTTTGGCTAGAAGAATTATCCAAAGTCATAATTATGAGTTGTTTGGGCTAGAAGAAATACTAGAATGTATTTCTCGGATTGTTATTGATGATTTATCGCCATAATCAATGAATATAGCCATTTACCCTTTAAAAAAATTGTTTTACTGCATGGTGACGTGGTTTTTGTTCTCTCTCTCTCTCTCTCTCTCTCTCTCTCTCTCTCTCTCGTTTTTTTTTTTTTTTTTTTGCTGCAATTGTTTTTATTTATTTTATATGGTGATGATGAAATCTGAGGTTAGCTAATCTAATTATGACGTCATAGAAAATTTCAAGAGTTAATTTAAGCTAATATTTTTAGAGTGACAAAGCTTTCAGTCAACCACTACTATTAACATCTTGACATTTTTTGTTGTCATCCAAGTTGACAATATAATCCGGAGAGAAGGGAAATCTAATGATCATTAAATCTGATTACTTTATCCTAAAAAATAAATAAATCTAATTATCTTTGTGACAAAATGTCAGATAAATATTTACCAACAATCTCACTTATTGATTCTGAATCACTTCTTATATCATTAAGCAAAATTGTCGGTAAAGTCAACTTTATTAGTAGAAAAAAGAAAAGGCTCCAACTTTGTTCTAAAGTTGGTGGGAAAATTTCTAACCGGAAAAACTGACATTTCGCTAAAATGTTTATTTATTTTATTTAT